TTAAATTTATGTCGAACTTATGGGCAATGTATGTAATATTACAGGAATTTAATATATATATTTACAAAATTATATCAATTGTTATCACAGCATTTTATCGGAAATAGAGTGTACATAATATTTTAATTTATTTCCGTGTTCCGTATTAGATAGGCGCAAATATATTATCATTGAGTTCAAAAGAAAAAAAAATAAATATGACAAATAATTTTGATTAGTTAAAAACAAACGCATGCGTTATTTTGATTATTAGAACACTTGTTGTACAGTGTTATTTTTTAATTAATTAAATGGCGAATAAAATTATTGCCAACATTTCTATTTTACTCCTAAAAAAATTAAAACGACTAGAGTTTCTAATTATTAAAATAAAACGTATGCTTTGATGAATTATTCATATGTCTTATGAAAACTGATTGAGCCTCGAGGCAAATCACATGATCATGCCCATTATCGTTTTCAAACCTCGCCAAGTTTAAATTATCAAATTCTTATTTTTCGTGGTTACTTTAAGAAATAAAACTCAATTTAATACTGACCTCTGGAATATTTTTTATAGATGGTTTCTGGATATGCAAACCAGCGAGTGGTATAATATTAGGCATCAACGGATGAGACATGTCCAAATTTGGATCAGAATTTGTGAATACAACACTAGTGTTTTGCTCGATAGATTCTAAATTTTTGACTATATATTCGCCAAAAAATTCTCTTGCTCTCAAATTTTCATGTCTCATAAACACGAACGTCCTAAATACAAGAAATTTATTATTATAGATAGATATAACATATTGTTTCGTTTGAATGCACCTTAATGTCGATTGTAAAAAAAATATCTTCAGTAGTAAACAAATTATACAGCCATGGTATACATATGATAAATGAAAATTGTAATATATGTAATATATAAACAAAACTCTATAATTTTAAAAAGAATATAAAGGTGAATTAATAATATTTTGAGATTTGCTTCCCACAAAATAAAAATATCAAGATTATTAAAGATCTATGAATTAGCGTTAATTAATTCGAATCATAGCGTTAATTAATTCGAATCATCGTAAAGACATATTTTGCAATGCTTGGCTGAGTGCAAATTTGCATTTGGGTACTTGCTTTCGATAATCATAATAAATACTATCCTATCAACTTATACATTTCATTTTATTCTATATGAAAATTGCAATGAAAATACAGTGATTTTTCGCACTAAATAACGTAGTATACTATTGTTATTTAGGAAAAAAATAGGTTTAATCGTTATATTTCAAAAGTGGAAGTTGAAGAATTTTGTTCCTGCTGTTAAAATATAGGTACTTGTTGAAGTAAAAGCTAACCCTTAAAGAAACTTTTATTATTGGATTATTCACCTTTAGATCCCAAAAGCATATAGAAATTTTTTGAAGAGTATTATCAAAAACCGATGAAGAGAGAGTTAGCTGACTTATAGTGCCGCCATAAAAGACCCTTTAATCAATAAAGAAAAAGTGATAAGGTAAATAAGATGAACAATTGCTAATGATCTTGAAGAAGAAAGAAAAGCTATTAAAATATTAAAGCTTAAAAAAGAATTAAGAAGCTAAAATATATAGCAATGAAGAGATCAAGATCACGCTTTTAAACAGAGCTAATAAGTTATTTATATCATACATGAGTATTTTTGTAATTATTTTATTTTAGGTAGTCATAATCAATACTACAAATCAAACTAATTCTATTAACATGTATTATTACTATAAAAACAAAAAGCGTGCTAAATAACGGAGGCTTGATGCTAGATAAATGAATCTCTTTATGCGAGGCATCACTGTATAAATATGACAGAATTGTTAAAATGGTAAGATAAATGATATGATAATCAAATTTATTTATTGTTAATTATTATTCACACACATGCTTTAAAATAAAAAAAAAATAAAGTCAATCAATACTACGTAAATTAAATGTTAATAGATACATCGTAATGAATTAGTCAAAATCAAGTGCCATTGATCGGTTAAAATTTGCTAAATAAATTAGTATATAAAATAGAGAAGAAGCAAATGTATGTTAATCATGCATAATCTAGCATGTGTCTTATTACCTGTACATCCATTCGGCTGCGTGCAAGAATAAGTTGACCGCTCTTTGAACAAATGTCATCGGTCCATCATATTTGGAAGAAGGATGAACCATATAAGACGGAAAATGAGTATTTCCTGATACAAAAAGGGTATAAGTTGGCGTACTTAAAGGAGTTATCTGTGGGAATCGATAATTAGAACAGGAATTATAAATGAGATTAATTAAAAGTCATAAAACAGAAATATGCATCATTTAAAACATACAGTAGAAGCTCGATTAACCGGACTAATTGCTGTCGGTAGGCATCCGGATAATCGAAAATCCGGATAATTCAATGTATGAAGAATAATGATGTATATTTATCAAAAATAACAAATACATACATAGATTTGAACGAAAATCAATGTTTAATAACAAATTAACATTTCCTTATGTATGTACATACATACACTAAACCGCAACATAAATCGTGCAAAAATTGATGAATTGTAAAAGTATGTACATACATATAACTCTGTCGCGGTTGGTAGTCCGGATAATCGCGAATCCATATAACCGAGGTCCGGATAATCGAGGTTCTTCTGGTATATTTCTGGCGTTTTTTTTTTCAAAATAATATAAATTTAATTTCAAAATATAAAATTCAATATTTAATAAAAAATTATTCTTTATAATAAGTAAATTAAGTAAGTATTATGCAACTATCACTTCCAATAGTAATATTAATGCATCCATATATCTAATAAATCAAAATTTGCAGAATTTCCCAGTAAAACCGCCTATTTGATTACTCAAATATAAACTGGTTCAATCTAAAATAGTGTTTCTCAACAGTCTATATACTTGTGCAACAAATTATGATTAAAAAATCTCAAAATCATTAAAATTTTGGATTATGGACAATTGCAAAATTTCCTTGTCATTAACATGGTGTGAAACCACTTCAGTTTAATTCAATAATAAAGAAATAATATAAAGGTTTAGATTATTTGCATATATCGCAACATAAATTTCATTTTCGAAAATATTGATAGAATACTCGAGTTGATCACATATAATCTTCTATATATATAAAAATAAGTCGGGTTTTTTGTCCTGACGAAATAACTCCAGAACGCACGAACCGATTACGACAATTTTGCATTCGTTGGAAAGGTCTCGGGCTCCGCAAGGTTTATAGCTAAGAAAATTAATTGTGCATGACATCGTGCCTTAATGCAAGCTACTGTAACTTCACTCACCGTAATTAAAAATTCGAGTAATTACATTAGTGAGAATTATCAGAATTATGCTTGGTTAAGTCAACGAGCAATTCTTGCCGCAAAGAATAATGATGTACACGCACTGAATTTCACCGTTCAATCAAAAATTGCTGGCAATTTGGTGACATACCAATGATTCCGACTGGTCTTCCGTTTGACTTCAAACGATTGCAATTTCCAGTTCGCCTTGCGTTTGCAATAACAAGTCGCAAGGCCAATCGCTTAGTGTTTGCGGGATAAATTTCAAATAGATTATTTAGAAAATCATTGTTTTTCACATGGGCAGTTATACGTTGCCTGTTCACGAGTTGGAAATCCATCCGCTTTGTTTGTGTTAACGTCAGACCAAAAAACAAAAAATGTGGTTTACCAAAGAGCACTTCAATAAAACGGATAATTTGCGGATTCACTTTTATTTACTTAGAGAAGTTCAACTAAAAAACACTTCATTTTTGTAATCCAAACAAATTCATTACTGTTGTATAATAAAATCACATTTTTCCTTTTCAAATATAAAACAAACAAAAAATTGTGGCGAAACGGAGTTTGTCGGGTTTGCTAGTTATAATATATTAATTACTACTTACGGATATCAGGGGCGGGTTATTAAAATAATTAACAAATCCCAAGAGACATTGTCCACATGTATAATCATGTATCACTAGGTCAAATGAATCCCTTGGATAATTTAACAACACTTTCACTCCTTCAGACTGCAATGCTGTTTTACAAACCAAATTGAAGAACTCGTACATTGCCAAAATATTAATTAATTGCATATAATCCGATATGGATTCGTAGTCGACATTATTATACATTTGTTGTATTTTTTCATTTACACCATCTAAAGGTATATAATGCAGATTTTTTGAAGGTTTATCTGTTTCCACACTCAATGCTGTTACATTGTGTCCTTCTTTGACCAGCGATCGCATCAGAGATCGATTCCAAATGTGATTGCTTCTAGAAGGCATCCCGAGGAGGAATAATATATTTTTTGCCGAAACAGTTTGGAATAGAAGAAACATTAACCATCCATATTTTTTTGCTAACTTCATGGTGAAATATATATCTAGAAAGAAACACTAATTATAACTTTGCGAGATAAAATTAAATGCTTAAAAATAATTTGAGAAAAACTCTAAATCATTATCAAGTTTTTTTTATGTGAGATCAAAAAGACAATTTTCATCAAAAATTCATGGAAAAAATGCTGGCATAGCATTGAGCACACAAAATTAGAAATTAGATAATGCAAAAAGCATAAATTAATATTGCTTAAGTACTGCTCCTTAGTAGTGCTCCTGAAATATTGTCATAGCAGCAGGAATTATTATTAATGTAACGAATTGAGAATAATTATTAAATTTATTAGTGGATATTTTTGTAAAAATGTTTAATGTCAGTGAACTAAAATAAATTTGCTTTAATATTTTTTGGTAATGTTATTATTTTATTGTCGTTTTGAAGTTAGAATTATAAGCACTTATTATGAAGGTTAGAAGAATTTCTTTTTACAAGGCATTTTTATAACAGCAGAAATTATTATTTACTTGAAAACCAATTGAGTTAAATAATTAAATTTATTAGTGGATGTTTTTGTGAAGAATTTTTATGTCAGTGAACTAAAATAAATTTGCTCTAATGTTTTTGGCAATTTTATATCTTTATTGTTGTTATGATGTTAGAATTGTTAGTTCTTATTATAAGGTTAGAAGAATTTCTCTTATTTCTCATTCAATTTAATTTTCAATTTAACTAATGGCGAAAGTCAAATTTAATAAAAAAAACACTTAATCTTTTAAATGTTACTAAGTATTGCATTATAAAATACGATTATATGTGTATAATCAAAATGTGATATTTAATCTGTTTATTTGTTGAAATACGAAATGATATAATTTTAAAATAATTGTTTTAAATCTTATGGTTTTCTGATAATGACATTGCAAAAAAACTTATTATCAATAATATTTCAAACCACCAAATAAATAAAAACTTGTCATGCATAACCATGATTTAAGCATTTGTGAATGTGCAGTATCTACAAGGTTTTTTGGTCACAACATAACACGGAATGAATAATATATATATATATGATCATAAAATATTATTTAGCGCAAAAGTTTGCTGTACTATCTGCGCTGTTTCCTCTATAAGATTGCTTTAGAAAAATTTGAATCAAAGACCTCATGGGTCAGAAAAGATAAGCATTGTCCTAGATCTCTTACCGCGGAAAAATAGAGCAAGGATGCAAAACTATAAAAATAAAAACAATGAATTATGTGAATCATTTTTATTATGATTGAATCATTCGTTATAATAAGATGATTCGCAGATATAAATAAGTAACGAATTGAAAACAGATATTGAATGATTCATATGTTGAACAACTTCCAATCATCCAATCTAATATAAATACAATGAGCATTGCATGTTATTTTAATTAATAACTTCATGAGAAAAATATTATTGCAATTATTTTTGCAAAAATTATAACATTGTTATACATATATTGTCAAATATTACCTTAAATTCGTAAATATTGAACACAATATATAATATATAGTACTAAGGTAAATAAATAGATTACAACTGGGAACTCAAGTACTGAAGAAATTATAAACTAATAATTTGTTATTGTCAAAAAAAACATTTTGTGTTAATATTTTTCAAACAAAATAAAATAGTCTATTAAAGACAACACACAAAAATACTATGAATCTAATTCAACTTTTGTATTTCTATAAGCAGTTTGATCATTATAATTGGAGTTGTGTGCCTTGGACTATGAAACAGGTGTGTGTTTTTCCAATGCAGTATAATAATTATAAGTCAGCATATGCAAGACGAGAGTGTGAAACCGAGATTTGCACATTACATGATTTGTGAAAAAATCTCGGTAGTAATTAGTTCCATATGCCAAGTACGTAAACAGAATCGCAATAGATCAGATAATACACGTAAAAAACGAAGCGAAGAAAAAGGTTGAAATCATGCACCCAATTTAAAATTGAGTATCTATTATAAATTCACATTTACAATATTTTATAAATTTAATGTTTATAAATGCGATTATATTTCATTTGCAGTACATTTTCCGTAATTCTGTAATGCCACAGTTTCATTTTTCTATTCATAAAAATGAAGAAATCATTTGAAAAGAATGGAAATACATTATAAGCAGCATATTTGAATAATAGGTTTTCTGAAATATACTTATTGTACTTTCTATCATGTGATATTAGAGTATACTTGAGCAACCATTTTTGAATAAGAATAAAACTGAAAGTCATTCACAGAATTTATTAAAATATTGTTCGACTGACGAAAGACAAACACATACTTTTTCCAATTTTGCTTTCAAAAGATTCAGAATGGCTTAAAATGTTGTGACGATAAAATTCGGATTTTCTGGCAACATCATTAACTCCTTCAAGAAATTAATAATTGCTATACATAACAAAATTTAAATAAAAATTCATAATATGTGTATATACAAAATAAAAAGTACATCATAATTTTTTCCCCTTTGCAATAAAATTCTTGTCATTTTTATATCTATTATGTCTCAATTATTCAAGTAGTAGTAAAATTTTCCATTGTCGTAATGGAAATTAAAGAAGAAAACATAAAACTTGGCATTGAATTTAGAACAATGACCAAGACAAAAATTATCATATTGTATTTTCGATTTCGGTATTTACGGAATTTGTTTTGATTTCGATGTAGATTACACCATCACACCATAAATACAATGTAGTTCAAAAGACTTTTACTTTCTAAATATAGTAAAATTTGAGCTCGGTTGATTTAAAAATATTAACTCAAAAGATACAAGTTTTTCTCGAACATATTCATAAATGAAGATAATTCATTCTTAACAAATTATGATTTTGAGAAAAATATACCCGCATTGAAATAATGAAATCACATAATAATTCTAAAACGATGATGATCGTGGGGTAGTGACGTGATATACAAATAACATGAGTAATATAGGTTTATTTGACTTTATGAATATTCTTATTGTATGCATCAATTTATTAGTGCTATAGTATAATATTTATAATATTATTATCAGATATACTGCTATCAAAACTGTGTTTGTGCTTATGAAAACTATACTGATGATATTTTTTGACTAAGAGTCATATATAATAAAATATGTATATATTTGATATTTTCATATATATATATATATATATATATATATATATATATAATAAAATCCGGTAAACACTTGAAATGACCTCTGTTCTAGATACTGTAAATTATAATTTATTAAAATAATTTGTATAACGTAGAAAGGGTAAGAGTTTTGGCTTAAACTAGAGTGCAATATAGAAAACAATTGATGATACATTTATTGAGAATAATTAATTATTATTAAATAATAATTTATTATTGAATTACATGTCTATAACATGTGAAATACAAACTCCTTCAGAGAAGTGCAAAAGCTGTCTCGAAAATCATCCAAACTTGCTTGTCAGATAACTATGATTGTTACAGCTCTATGTGAACTAGGTTAAAGAAATTTATTTTAGATTAATCTCTATCAATCCCAAAATCTCATATAATAATTAGAGGATTTTTATTTTCAAAGCCATAATTAATCCTGCAATTACACTGGTGCTTTTAGAGGTGTAAAAACTAATGTATAATAAACAAAATACGTTTTTTATGCATTTTTTGCTTGTATATTTCTATTATATTATGTAGATATATGAATAAATATGTTTATATATGTATAAAATTAATCTAAATAATAATATATTCATTCCAATTTTTCAACTTCCCGAAAGAGAATTTTATGTTTTCTCGACGTTTCAAGCCATTCTGAATCGAATGAGAACAAATTTGGAAAAAGTATGTGCAAGGTGTATGTGTGTGTGCGTGTATGTGAACAGATATTTTGCCGCAAATCGACGTTTTTTCAAAAACGTCTGGACCTATTTCATAAATTTAAAAGCCATTCGATGTATCTCGATAAGGACTATTGTTTGTCAGTTTTGTGCGACGATCTGTCAAACCGTTTCTTTGTAATTTGGACAAAAGTGTTAAACTTTTCGTCCGCGTTTAAGCTCATACCAGCGAATTCAAAAAAATCGAAATACCAAAAAAAATTAATAACAGTTCGAAAGATATTAGTTGGGAATGATACTGATTAGTTTTAGGTGAAATTCTATCGAGCCGTTTTCTTGCAATTAACTGTTGAAAAAAAAATTAAGACGAACTTTTTTGGCGATATATATCATGGTCTTATAGAACTTACTGAAATATTACGGCCATACGTAATATTTCAATTCTTAATTTTAAAAATTCATCGAATATAAATTAATTTATATTTTATGATTAATTTGATTACACCAACACCAACTAGTTTATTTATTTATTTGAATCAATGATTCATAGGCGGAAATCATCGACCGCAGTTTGTCCATCACTGAAGCGCGTAATGATAACACAAAGATAGAGATCAACAGATGGTGTTTGGCAGTGTTTACGAGCCCAGCCTAGCTGTCAAATTGACAGTCCTTTTGCTACCATAAAGATGCAAGATGTATCTTAAGCATTTTTAAATTATTTATTATTATTTTTTTCTAATTTTATAGTAATGGAAAGTGAAATAAATAGACGACCTTTATTAGAAGATAGTGATAGTGATTTTAACGAAAACGACAATGACATAGAACATGAACAAAATGAGGACCATATTATAGTCCAACCCCATAATAATAGAAAGACATTCTTAAAAACTATTTTACCCCCTGATAAATACAATGTATCGTATTTTATATTTTATTTACTTGGTATGACAACTTTATTACCATGGTGCTTTTATGTTACAGCAAATGAGGCTAGTATTAGATCATAATTATACCTATAACATACTTAATACATTATACTAATATTAAAAATATTTTATGGATTTTTATTATAGTATTGGATGTACAAATTTAGAGATGTATCACAAAATAATACTTTTAACCGGACAGCATTACAAGTGGGATTTACAGCATATTTGACTGTAGCTTCCTCCATTCCGAATACTGTATTTTTAGTAATAAATGCCATGGTTTGCCATAGGTAAAATATAATAAACATTTATCTGTACTATAATATAAAAATAATTATTACTTTTATTTCCAGAATATCATTACATTTACGAATGCATGGATCTTTAATAATTATGACAACATTATTTATTATTACGACTGCGTTAGTAAAAATTAACACTGATAGTTGGCAAGAGAATTTCTTTATTTTGACTATGCTGAGCGTAGTTTTTATGAATTGTAAGTTAAAATAAATTAAAAGTTTTTATAAACAAAAATAATTATGTAAACTCTTGAAAATAACTGATTAATTAAATAAACTAATGCATATAATAATATATGCGTACAATATGCATGGGTTGTTCATGTTCAAACAAATTAATTTAAAAAATGTGCTTTAAAATATTTTAGATGCTGCCATGATGCTTTAGTTATGTAATTTTAATAATTCAAAAAAATTCTACAATTTCATTTTTCAGGTGCCAGTGCTATAATGTCCGGTGGCCTTTTTGGCATAAGCGGCAGATTTCCAGCGCAATACATATCAGCTGTTGTGAGCGGGCAAGCACTAGGAGGAGTATTTGCAGCAGTGTGTGAAATTGTTTCATTATCATTAGGAGTTAATGCAACTCTTAGTGCACTTATTTATTTTATCATAGGAGTATTTGTACTAGCTCTCTCAAGTGTAGCTTATACGACTTTGACAAGAACAGCATTTTTCAAATACCATTTACTATGTGAGGACCAAGTTGAAGAAGACATTCCAAAACCACCCATTTCTATAAATAACATTATGAAAAGGATCTGGCCATATGCTTTTGCTGAAAGTTTTATTTTTGTTGCAACATTATCTGTTTATCCTGGAGTGACTGTCTTGGTAGATTCTGAATACAAAGGAAATGGTCAACCTTGGAATGGTAGCACAAATTTCAATGTTATATATATGGTGAAGTTAATAACTTTATAAATTACATTATTGCAGATATATACTTTGTGCCTGTGGTTTGCTATTTTATATTTAGCACTGGGGATTATGTGGGAAGAATTATTGCTGGATATTTTTTATGGGTATAGCGATGACCTTTATAATACAGATATATATATTTTAAACATAAATAAAATCTATGTATTTACATTTTTAGCCGAAAAATAAGCCATACATTGTAGCAGGTTTAAGTCTCATTAGAGTAATTTTTGTACCAATTTTAATGATGTGTAATGCTCATCCTCGGCATTATTTACCCATACTTATAGAAGAAGATTATATTTATATATTAATAATAACAATTTTTGCTTTAAGCAATGGATACATTGCTAATATTGCTTTGATATATGCACCAAAGTAAGTGAATATCTACCAGGTTCAAAATAATATCATACAAAATTTAAAATAATTATATTTCAATTTCAGATGTGTTGAACCACATGAGAAAGAAACAGCGTCATCAATTATGGCAGCTTTTCTAGGTATAGGACTTGCAATTGGCTCAAGTCTTAGTCTTATCATGGTTAATCTATTATAAAATTAATGTTAGAAAAAATAACATTTCTAATTATGAGTAAAAATTTTATTAGTTTTAGTATATGTTCAAAAATATGTGATATTATAATGATATTAAACTATTTTATTTAAATGTATGATTGTTTTATATTTTACTTCAACACTGCGATAGTACGACGCGTAACTAACTGAATTTTATATCTTATCTTATAATATTTTATAATATTTTCCGTTATATTATTTATTTAAAAAAATTCAAATCTTAGATCGATAAGTAATAAATAATAATATGAAAATACAAAATGACGAATTCACACTTTGCAAAATAAATAGTGATTCATTTTCACCTACGAAAAATGCTTTTCTTTTGAAATTCTATAATAGCAAATGCAAAAAAAAGACCTTCAATAACCGTGGTAAATATAGTTACATCTATTTTTATAAAATGTTCAAACAATAGGCAATTTTTTTAGAGCGAGATGCATAAGTATATGATCTAAATTTAATTTTTTATGAAGGAATATTGTAACTCGCAATTTTACTAAAATTAATTAACGCAATATTTTAAACAATATTAAAAAAAAAAATAGAATTATGCATTGATTCCCACATAGAAGCGGTGAATGTAACAATAACTCACGGGTCAAATGTTAATTACAAAGAAACGGTCAATCTTTACCAAAAAGTAAACAACTATTTTTAATTAAACTGTTAATTAGGATAAAACAAAATCACATGCAATTAATTACCACGAGTCATTGCCAAGCTTTATCAAAAATGCCGATTTTCAAAATTCAAAAGTCGCTTGGCTTATCGGCGAAACGAACAAATTTTCGTTAATATTTTTAAAAAACGATACAAAATGAACTGAAAATTAGGGAATCAAATCAAATTTGAAAACTTTACTCCTTCGGGTAGTTGAAACAAATATAAGTACTTAATAGATAAAATTTTATAGCTTTTCTGTGAGATAACTAAAAACTGCATATGTATTTTTTTTTATTAATGTATGTATAAAAAATTTTAATGCCAATTTTTTAGAAAAGTTCGATAACATTGAAAATGTACAGTCATTAAGTTCCAGTAGAATTTCAATAAGATTGAAACTGAAAGTAATAAAATATGTGAATGCAAATATGCGAGTTGAACTATATTTTAATTAGCGAATATAGTATTTGTAATATCCCATTTCATTCAATTAATTCAAAATACCCAAAAACGATAATTTTTATCAATTCCATCCAATATTTTTAGAGTTTTTGAACTTTTGAAAATTCTGAAAAATATATTTTTAAATTTTTTAAATTTTTTGGAATATTATTTGTATATTTTGAATAATGCGATAAACTACTAAAAAATGTTTTATTTGTTGTATTTATAAATAACTTAATTAATAAAATAATTATAGAGAAATGAAATTTTTAAGTATATGCAAAACATATGTACTTAATTTATAAATTTCATATCGGAATTCTAAAATCTATTCAAATTCTAGTATGTTATGAAAAAGTCAACATTTCATTACTCGATGCGCAAAATAACAGACTTTAAATAGATATTGAAGCAAATTAAATAAACAAATATGATAATTCTCCGATCAGCCTATAAATTGTAAACAACAGTCGACTTGCGAGTCAGAATTTAACCTTCAGTGGGTAGATGGCGACTGAGAAAATATGTCGTAATAAGATCGCTGTGGCCTAATTTTTTATTTGGTTCCAAATGTCAGAATTAACAAAATTTCAATGCCGTGTGTCGTAATGGTAATGGTAATGGTTCTTCTCAGAAACTTTATCCACTTGCGAGCGTAGTTGCGCTCGCATCAAATCAGTAATAAACGAATTACCTTAGGTGTAACTTGTGATAAAAATGTTTGTTTTGTGCAATAAAAGTTGGTGTTGTTATTTAACTAAATGTGAATTATTGAATAAGTTTTAAGATTTGACAATGTATTGGACAGTTCACTTAGACGGGGGACCCCGGCGCGTGAATCACGCCGCTGTTTCGGTCGGGGAGCTCATTTATTCCTTCGGTGGTTATTGCATAGGATCTAGTTTTCAAGAGACTGAATTAATGGATGTTCATATTTTAAATTCAAACAATTATAGGTGGACTTTATTAACCCACGATAGTGAATTAAAATCTAACAACATACCTTTTCAAAGATACGGTCACACTGCAGTGGCTCATGGCCAAAATATTTACGTTTGGGGAGGTAGAAATAACATGCAAGCATGCAATATTTTATATTGCTTCGATACCACGAACAATCAATGGTCGGCGCCCCAAGTCAGAGGAATCGTCCCAGGAGCAAGGGATGGACATTCAGCGTGTATTATAAATAATAAAATGTACATATTTGGTGGTTTTGTAGAACATATCCAAAAATTTTGTCAAGATGTTTACTATTTAGATTTGACGATAATGAAATGGAATTATGTGTGCACTACAGGGGAACCGCCTTCATATAGAGATTTTCATACGTCAACTCCTATAGGTAGAAGAATGTATATATTTGGAGGACGAGGAGACAGGAATAGCCCTTACCATTCTTCACAAGAATTGTATTGCAATGAAATGAAATATTTGGATACTGACAATGCTACCTGGTATGAATCACCAGTTGTGGGTGAAGTACCCATAGGAAGAAGAAGTCATTCTGCTTGTTAGTCTGGACTTATTTAATTGAGTACTTGCATAATTTGCTATAACTAAATCAGTGTCTATTTTGTAGAAAAATAATTACTGTTATAGAATGCATTCCTCGTCATATTTATAATTTAAGGGGGTATTCTAGTGTAGAAATTCAAAAAAATCGATTTTTTTTTAATTTCATATTTTCAAAGTTTAACTATCTAAGAATATGGGTACGAGAAGGTTTTTGAAAATTTGAATTATTTTCGGAGATATAGGCATTTACTGACTCGGTCTCCATACTGGTTTGGCTTCACACAAAACTTTAAATGCGTTTTTCTCAGAACTTACTTTTTCAGTACTCTTGTCACGATTTCTGGAGTTCTACTCGACCAATTTATTTGAAATTTTTAGAGAGTCTTGCTTATAGATCTATCTACAGTCTGAACTAGAATCATCCCGAAATTCCAATTTTTACTATTTTTAAAAAATTCGAGAAACTCAAAAAAACAGTAAAAAAAGCCTTTTTTTTTCAAACAGTCGCCAATTTGTGAAAAAAAAAATTTTCACTCATCGCTAGTTTAGCCGATTGCGACATCATTGTAGATTAATAATCTTTTTATTTTTTGCATTTCCGATGGCTAGGAGGGCTGAAATCATGTCAAGACTGAGGTGCCATTTTTTTGAGACACACCCACTTCATCAGCTGCCAGTTTTTACAATTTTCAACTTTTATTTTTCAATTTTTGTTTTGTACTTTAATAATATAAATAAACAAGTGGTAAAAAATGGATAGTAAAAACATTCATTGCTTTCTTTTACGACACTTTAAAAATGACCTAAAATTCATCGCTCTACACTAGAATACCCCTTAAATAATTGCATCTGATAGAATTCTTTATTTAATACTAGAACGTTTGTATAAATTCCACAATAATTCTATGAAGTTGAACTTTACAAAACAACAGTATTGATTTGCTCATTTAACTGATTATTAGATTAAACCCAGATTTTAAAACAAATCTTTTCTGTAATTTTGAAAAATATAACAAAATATATGCAAGTTCTCAATTTTGAAGGTGTGTCCAATGATTACCATATTAATTGATCTCTTTTTAGTTGTTTACAATAATATGATATATATCTTTGGTGGATATAATGCTCTAGAAGATGAACATTTAATGACATATTGTTTTTGCCCTAACACTAATGTATGGAATTCTGTAAAAACTTTTGGGCGATCTCCATGCCAAAGAAGGAGGCAGGCTTGTGTTTTAGTAGGAAACAAATTATATTTATTTGGAGGAACAAGGTGTGATATTTTTAAAGAAATATTTAAATTATATATTCAGATTATAAAAAAGAATACATTATTGCGAATAGTGAAAAATATGCTCGCAGCAAATGAACTAGTAGTAAATGTTGTGGTTAAAGAAAGAAAAATATGAAAACATTGCAGCAATGTTATTTTCATAGCATTGGTTTTATTAATTGTATTGATTTTAAATTCCCGATAAATAAAGCAAGGCATGGCTGTTTTCAAACTTGTCTATATTAAAGTATTTTACAGCCTTGATTGTGTTTCATAAAAATAAAAATATGAGCAAAAAAAAATATATAACATCAATATTGAAAAAAAATAAAAAACTAAATAAAAATCTAATAGTAATATGATCGGATCTTATATTAATGATTACATGAATTCATAAGGTTTCTCAATATAAAATATTGGAATAATTTTGATAAAATATGAATTGTCAAATGAAAACAATTTGAATTACAATTAAATAATTAATTAAATGATAAGTCAAAATTATTTTTGAACTAGCAGAACGTTGATAAGTATAACTTTATAATGGATAATGCTTGTTCAAAAAACAAAATAACGATAATTGCAATACAGCTACACTAAAATTAGTGAGAAGTAATTTAGGAACTTAGTATGTAAACAAAGATGGGTGAATATAAATTTACATTTAATCTTAAACATAAAAGAATTCAATATATAGTAGAAGAAATAGTTATTTTTGCTAGAGATGACGACTAATTCAAAGGTATTTATGATAAAGAATCACTTTTCAGTATATATATATATATATTATATATATAGTGTGTGGTGTCGGAACTGTGTGGGCTAGGTATATGATATTGTCTAAAAAAAAAAGCTCACGCAGGGTGTCTAAAAATAAAAAAAAACGAGCCCACCATATTATTGAAATATGTATATTTGAAATTGAAATTGATATTATATTGTTATAGTCCAAAGACGACGGCAAGGTTTCATACACAAAGACATTTGGATGATATTGACAGCCATGCATTGATTAATCATGGTGATTTACATGTACTAGATTTTATGCCTTCTTTACAAACATTGTGCATAAATAT